TGGGTAGAAAATGTATTGACACATGTGGGCCGCCAAAACGCTAGGGGCCCCAAGGGCATTGGGAAATGCTACGGTAATACGGTCATGCAATAATTGCACAAGGTGTATGTGTGTCATGTGTCATGAATGAAGTGCGCATGCAACTATGAGTACTATATTCATGAGGTGAATTGAATTTTAGGCGGGATCCAAAGCTTGGACCCCGCCTAAATGCAGGCGACTAAGCCTGCAAACAATGAAAGTATGGAGAATGGAGAAAAGAGAACAAACATTTGAAAATGTTTATCAGAAACCAGCTTCAGTGAAACAATTGTTTCGTTTTGCGATAGAAGATCTCAACATTGGAAGAGGAGAAAGATTCTGTTAATATCGTTCTAAGACGATTTCTTGCAAAATGCGGGTGATAGGAAGTAACAAATGTAATTGTATTCCTGTTGTGGCTGGTCTTCGCTTTCTTGGCAGCAGAATGATGTGTAACACGAGGTTCAATATTCATGAAGATAGGAGCCAAGAAATGTGGAGGATAGCCTCTGAGCCTAAGTCTGCACCAAAAACGCTCACGGATAGTAAGAACATCAGACAATCTTGAATTAGTTCTATTATATCGACAGAGTTCTGCAATGATAAATGAGCGGAAGTTTGATTTTGGGTGATCTGACTTATACGGAATGTAAAGATAAGCATTCCTGGGTTTCTGATATGTACGATACAGGACATTACAATTAGTCTCTGATTTGTCTAAGAAGAGTTCTAAATCTAGAAAGACACATTCATCGCTAACATTTGACCAGGTGAGGTTAATGTCAGGTAAATCTGAATAGAGAGACTGTTGCAAGGATTCTATGCTGAGCTTATCATCTATGACTAGGAAGAGGTCGTCAATAAATCTTTCAAAAAGATAGATGGAAGCTTTAAAGATAGACAGTGTTTTCTTTTCGTGGATGAAAAGGAAGGCATTTGCTACATTGACCGCCATGGGAGTGCCCATGGCCATGCCATGTTCTTGATGATACAAAACGTTTTCAAACTTGAAATAGTTGTTTTTCAGAACAAAGGCAATGAGTGCAATCAAAAGAGGCCGCAATGGATGCTCAGCATCTTTCAAAAACTCATCAATTGCAGAAATTGTATCGTGCCAATTCATGTTTGTGTAAAGACTGACAACATCAGCTGTAACTACTTTGCTGTTTGCAGGGAAATGTGTATTTGCAAGTTTAGAGATTAGACTATCTGTGTCAGCAAGTACAGTGTTGGCAGTTTCATGAATGATGTTTTTAAGGTGAAAATCTATAAATCTAGAAGACGGGGAGGTGCAGTATCCAATGCAAGAGACAATTGGTCTACCCGGTACTAAGCCGTCAACAAGTTTTTTGTGGATTTTCGGAAGCATATAGAATTTAGCTGGTTTAAAAGGGAAAGAGCTAAATAATGCAGTGACATCACGTTCAGAAAGTAGGGCAGAGTGTACTTTACAAATTTCTGAGAGGTCACGGTGTAGAGAATCATGCAGTGCTTGGTTATCTGAAGATACTGGAGAATAATATTTTCTGTCAGCTAGCTGGCGAAGGCCTTCTGCTATGTAATCTTCTTTGTTTAAAACAACAGTGCCAAGATTTTTATCTGCTTTAGAAATAACAATATCTGGTCTGTTTTTTAATAAGAGATACGCTGATAATTCGCTAGGGGTTAGATTATGTTTACGTTTGCTTGTAATCTGAGCTGCATGGATGCTAGATTCTAATCTTGACCGGAAATCAAGTAGAGCAAATTCAACATGAGGTAAAGCGGTAGGAGGAACCTTCTCTGAAGGGAGGTGAAAATGTGGAATATATTGTTTGCTAGGCACTGTAGTCCTAAAACGATTAAACAGGTCATTCCATCTGACTTTACGTTGAAGTGCAGAAATATCGTTTGATAATTGCTGCTGTGTTGGCAAGTGAGTAGAGGGTCTAAAGTTAGACCCATATCCGAGAACTTGCTTTTCAATGGGTGTGAAATTGAAACTAGAAAAGTTATGAAAACCAGAGTTTAGAACGTACGTAGAATGTCTATTCAGATTGAGATTCCAAATATATTTCAAACGTAAGTCTAAGAATGATTTTTGCCTTTTCTTCTGCCGTGGGACAATTTCACTGTAACGTTTTTTGCCGTCTTCTTCTTCTTCTTTTGCTGAGCAGGCTTTGCTGAGCTGGTTTTTCGACTAATCTTAGACTGTTGCTGCTGCTGTTGCTGTTTTTTCGGTTGCTGTCGCTGCTGCTGCTGGGAAATGACTTGCCTAGTGACTTCTTTTTTGATAAGAGCGCCAATCTCTTCTGAGGTTGGAGGCAGTGCTTGAACATCCATCTTGTCTTTTGGCTTGTCTTTTCTGGCTGAGGTTAAATCAGTCCGACATTGTTTAGCGATGATGCAAGCTTGTCTTAGCCCAGAAAGATATTTGAAACGGGAAGTGAGTTGACTGGCAAAAATGTTGGTTGCTTCGTTAGATGAAAGTCTTTCAGCGAGAATGTTGAAGTCAGTGTTAGCTGAATCTAGCGTAGCTTCTGCTTTACTCAGCTTGGTATTGCAGGCGGCTATTTGCTTATTCACATACTCTGTGCATTCAATCAATCTGGCCCTATCTGAGAGCTTAGAAAACTTCTTAATGATATGATCTTGAAAGGAGTTTCCATCAATTTGAGCTTGCAACTTGTCTTTCTTTTCCGACTGTTCGGACAAAACCTTCTTACTGGTAAATACACGATTAATGCACCAGGTAACGTACCTCTCTAGCTCATCATCTGGTAGAGGACGGTCGCCAGGGCAGGTAACAGGTGAGGCATTGGCAGAATCGGCAGAGTCGTCAGTTGCAGCGTCGGTTGCAGCTTCAGATGACTTTTCGTTGATTAGGGCGTCGATTATGGCGACATCATCATCATCGACATCATCGTCGAAAGCAGTGTCTTCACGGAGGCGTTTAGAGCGTGGCGGTACTACGCTGACAGAGCCAGCACCGGGTCTAGGTAGGCCAACGTGGGACTTCTTGTCCATACTAAAGAACACGTTTGAGGGAGGTCATATTGAACATAAATCTTAATGAAGTGATACCCCCGACACAAACTGCACAAACAAGTGTGACATTCTTTGAAAGTTTACTTTTGGCTGACCGGTTTCACTACTAGGTGTAGATCATCAGAGTGAAGAGTAAAGTGGAACGAAACACAATTTTATGCTCCCACTAGGTGGGTAGAAAATGTATTGACACATGTGGGCCGCCAAAACGCTAGGGGCCCCAAGGGCATTGGGAAATGCTACGGTAATACGGTCATGCAATAATTGCACAAGGTGTATGTGTGTCATGTGTCATGAATGAAGTGCGCATGCAACTATGAGTACTATATTCATGAGGTGAATTGAATTTTAGGCGGGATCCAAAGCTTGGACCCCGCCTAAATCTTAATGAAGTGATACCCCCGACACAAACTGCACAAACAAGTGTGACATTCTTTGAAAGTTTACTTTTGGCTGACCGGTTTCACTACTAGGTGTAGATCATCAGAGTGAAGAGTAAAGTGGAACGAAACACAATTTTATGCTCCCACTAGGTGGGTAGAAAATGTATTGACACATGTGGGCCGCCAAAACGCTAGGGGCCCCAAGGGCATTGGGAAATGCTACGGTAATACGGTCATGCAATAATTGCACAAGGTGTATGTGTGTCATGTGTCATGAATGAAGTGCGCATGCAACTATGAGTACTATATTCATGAGGTGAATTGAATTTTAGGCGGGATCCAAAGCTTGGACCCCGCCTAAATGCAGGCGACTAAGCCTGCAAACAATGAAAGTATGGAGAATGGAGAAAAGAGAACAAACATTTGAAAATGTTTATCAGAAACCAGCTTCAGTGAAACAATTGTTTCGTTTTGCGATAGAAGATCTCAACATTGGAAGAGGAGAAAGATTCTGTTAATATCGTTCTAAGACGATTTCTTGCAAAATGCGGGTGATAGGAAGTAACAAATGTAATTGTATTCCTGTTGTGGCTGGTCTTCGCTTTCTTGGCAGCAGAATGATGTGTAACACGAGGTTCAATATTCATGAAGATAGGAGCCAAGAAATGTGGAGGATAGCCTCTGAGCCTAAGTCTGCACCAAAAACGCTCACGGATAGTAAGAACATCAGACAATCTTGAATTAGTTCTATTATATCGACAGAGTTCTGCAATGATAAATGAGCGGAAGTTTGATTTTGGGTGATCTGACTTATACGGAATGTAAAGATAAGCATTCCTGGGTTTCTGATATGTACGATACAGGACATTACAATTAGTCTCTGATTTGTCTAAGAAGAGTTCTAAATCTAGAAAGACACATTCATCGCTAACATTTGACCAGGTGAGGTTAATGTCAGGTAAATCTGAATAGAGAGACTGTTGCAAGGATTCTATGCTGAGCTTATCATCTATGACTAGGAAGAGGTCGTCAATAAATCTTTCAAAAAGATAGATGGAAGCTTTAAAGATAGACAGTGTTTTCTTTTCGTGGATGAAAAGGAAGGCATTTGCTACATTGACCGCCATGGGAGTGCCCATGGCCATGCCATGTTCTTGATGATACAAAACGTTTTCAAACTTGAAATAGTTGTTTTTCAGAACAAAGGCAATGAGTGCAATCAAAAGAGGCCGCAATGGATGCTCAGCATCTTTCAAAAACTCATCAATTGCAGAAATTGTATCGTGCCAATTCATGTTTGTGTAAAGACTGACAACATCAGCTGTAACTACTTTGCTGTTTGCAGGGAAATGTGTATTTGCAAGTTTAGAGATTAGACTATCTGTGTCAGCAAGTACAGTGTTGGCAGTTTCATGAATGATGTTTTTAAGGTGAAAATCTATAAATCTAGAAGACGGGGAGGTGCAGTATCCAATGCAAGAGACAATTGGTCTACCCGGTACTAAGCCGTCAACAAGTTTTTTGTGGATCACATGTTGATGTTTTTTTTGCATAGTTATAAAGAGTAGATTATCGCATCAATTCACGAGGGAACACGATGGCCTAACAGTCGGTAAACACAGGCAAAGATGCAGCACCAAAAGGTGGTGGTGTGGTGCTAAGTCTCAGACCCAATGGCACAAGCAACGAAAACCCCATTGGCTCCACCGATGTACCCCTTGTGCATTTTCAAATTTTCACGAGTTAACTGTTTAATACTGTTGGTAAATATATAATATTATACGGGAATCTGAGATATTTGGCGACCTGGTGAGCCCCTGAATGCTTCCAAGGATCTTTAGCACTAAGTAGTGGATTTTGGGGAATCTCAGAGCTACGAGAAATATCGCTAAATGGGGCAGGTATTTCGCGTATGAACAAGACCAGGCTATAAACTGTCAGGTATCCACGCATAGAGATGCCCGTGTGTCTTGGAGGACAGGGTCCAGTCAGTGTTCATCAGGATCAAGTGAGGACGGACAGTTCTAACACTCTCGCCGGGTGGTATTCCAGCGCCAGAACGAAGACCATGGTTTACAACCAACAACGGAAACTTAGTGACAGTACCTGACGCCCAGCGGATCTGCTTCATTCCATCAAGAGCAGACATGGTGACGAAAAGCAAAGCTGATCGACGGTGAGCGTAGCGGAAATGTGCACAAGCTATTTCCCAAGGCCACAAAGAATGTGAGAATAAGAATAGAGAACAATGGGAATGAGGGCACTACAAAGTAGTGGTGTGAGTTTAGACGCACTCCACTGACCTGTGATCCTAGTACCAACATGACACCATGCCAGAGCACAAACAAAGGAGATGTATGGGGAAAGATCAAACCAAAAGCCAAACACATGTTTCTTACATGACACGTGATCGTTGCTGGGGCCATGGCCAATAGGCGATCTTCTCGCAGCGGGCATAATAAGGCCATCAGGACCGTTTGACGTCCTTTCGGGAGTGTCAGGACCGTTTGACGTCATTTCGGGAATGTCAGGACCGTTTGACGTCATCTCGGGAATAATGTTTCGACCTTTCGACCTTTGACCTTCCCTAATATGTTGCTTCGCGCTGTAAGAAATCATTTCAAGCACGCTCTGCCTGTCATGATGGCTGAATCTTGCCCTCGCCTGCAGCCCTCGGGCTGCACGCCCTTGGGCTGCAGGCGAGGGCAAGATTCAGCCATCATGACCTCCTGAGCCTGCTTGGTTACATACATTAAAAACAGAGTTATCTAGCATGGATGACATCATATCCCTTTAAAGCTATATCTACAGTAGGTACACTGTATGCTGTAGTTACAGTGTGTACTGTTCAGCATGTGTGGGCACAGTCACGTGACACGCTTTACATGTCAAATCCCTATTTTCGCCATACTGAAGTACATGTAATCCCGGCCAGTGTCCACTTTGGTATCCGGATAGTTAGGTGCATCACATTATCTGTTCGAGACATTTCCAAGTGATCAATTCATCGAGTGACAATTTGCGACAGTGCGGTTTCGTGTTATCACTACCAGCAAGAAGGTCAACTGTTAACTTGTAGTGTTCCAAGTCTACACTATGCACAAGACTGGCAAACTCTCAGCAGGTCAGTCAGTGTGAATACCCGGGTATCATGAACTGTAGATGTGCACTTGCGAGTTGTGTTGCATGTTCAGCCAGTCAATCCGTATCATGAGCAGTAGCTGTGCGGCGTAGGAAGTCTACGTGTACAACACATGTACATGATTGTACATGTCAGTGTCTTGTACATGTCAGTATCCTGTACATGATTGTGTTTTATGGCTTCGTGGAGTACAGTAGTGATCGTGTTCTAGTGACGTCATGACAGTAGCTGGATGATAAGTCGTAATAGTTCATTCGCTCCCTTGTCACTGGACAGTTCTGTCCGTTTGGTTTTAGCGAATTCAAATAAAGAAAACAACAACAACAATAGTACAGTCCGTCACGTCAAGGAATGAGTCTGGCTGCTCTTTGCCTGTCAAAACTCTTGACTGAGTCATTAGAAAAATTGCAAGAATCTTCACCTGTAGGTCAGACCCAGAGTCGACGTGAAGAAAATGTTTGAAACATGGAAGTTGGACGTACTATCATGTTTGTAACTGAAGTGGTGCTGAATATCATTAACCAGTACATCTACATTTTATATGTAAGTGGTAAACAAATTTCCGCTGTGTAAAATTTTGCGAGAATAATATAATATAGTTTTTTTGTACGTGTATATCTAGAGTGCGGATGCAAGTTTTTGCGCTCCGCGGTCGAGTTTGTTTCGCCGGTGTAGCTGCCTTCGGCAGGACCGCACCTACACTGATTTGTTCTAGTGTTGATGTATGACTCAATAATATGGCGACTAACGAAGATATGGACTTAGCTCTGCTGACATACGAGGAGCTGCTCACAGTTGCCCGAGCTACAGGACTGACCAACCCGGAGACTATGGGCCGACAAGACTTGGTTGTTGCCCTTCGCAAGGAAGGACTAGGAATACGGAAGTCACCAGACCAAATGGTAAGCGACCTGCTCTCCACTTTTCAGCTCCTTAACGAGACTATAAAAGGTATGGCTTCAGAAATAGAATGTCTTTGAACGAGCAAGACAGACGCCATTGTCTCCTTGCAAGTAGAAGTTGCTCAACTGAAGGGAGTAGAAGAGAGAATGCAGTCCACAAATCCCGTACCCGTAGCGTCCCCAGCTTGCACTGACCAAGAGAAATTGTACAGTAGCACTGCAAGGAAAGCTGCCTCACCAACAGGCACACACACCAGCACGGACGGTAGTACACGTACTACTACAAGAAGTAGTACCCCAACGGCCAGACCTGACCTGCCCGCCAAACCTCAAACGCAAGATACAAGCACAAGCGACAATGGGTGGCAAAACCCACACCGCCGCCGCCCTGCACAAGCCGACACCAACACTACCGGTAGTCCACTGAAACGCACTATCACAAGCCAGTTCACAAAAGAGCCAGCCCGTACCAAACGCACTGACCTTCAGGGCGTGGAGCGGGTGAAGCGCACGGCTTTCTACCTTGGCAATGTAGACCTTGGATGCGATGCTGCCTCAATTGAACTGTGGTGTAAAAAGAAAGATGTCGAAGTTTTTCACTGCTCAATCTCAGAATCACGGTACTTTGGTACAGCTTATGCCCACCTGGTTGTGGGAGAGAACTGTGTAGACAAGATCCAAGGGCCTGGTTTCTGGCCTGACAAAATTAGTATCCGGAAATGGAGGTTCCACACTGACCAGGCTGAATCTGAACAATGAGTAAACCAACACCTCAACTTGACCCTAACGCAACACCCTTCTATCCTTCAACGCCCCTAGCCTCCTTTCCCGTAGCCTGTATCAATGCACGTTCCCTTAGAAACAAATCTGCTGAGCTATCCGACTTTCTCACGACCAGCTGTCCCCTTGTTGTTTGCATAACTGAAACCTGGTTGTGTCCACAAATTTCCCTCTCCTTCCCAGGCTATGAATGTTTTCGAAGGGATCGACCCACCTCCGAGAATAAAATTAACACCAACGACTTCCTGGCCTATGGCGGTGTTGCTATCTTAGTAAAATCAAGTGCATTTGGTCCTATTACCCACCGTACAGACCTACATCTTCCGCAATTCGAAGCTACCTGGGTAGAGATATCGCCATCCACTGGAACCTCTGCTTGCCCCACGCGCCAGCAGCCCATCCAAATTGCGGCTGTCTACCGCCCACCGTCCACCGACCCGTCGGTGATAGATAACTTTTACGCCTCGTTTCAAAGCTGCTTGACTAAAATACGGACCCCTGGCTCGCCAGTCCTCATCATGGGAGATTTCAATGCTAAATGTTCCACCTGGTATGGAACAACAACAGACACTGCAGGCCACCACCTTTCATGTCTTCTTGACATGTTTGCCTTGCAGCAACACGTCACATTCTCGACCCACCGCTCCCACAAAGGCAATGAGGCTGCTTTGGACCTGATGATCACTGACACTGCAGCCAGCATCTGCGATCCGCGCCCCTCAGCCCCTCTCGGTCAGTCGGACCACTCAATTGTTCTCGGCCGTTTGTGCATCCCGACATGTACCGCATCACCACCTGCACCCAACACTACACTGCCCTCCCATTCCTTCCAGATACCTGACTTCAGTCAGTTTGACATCTCCTCCATTCTTCCCACTCACCTAGTTGCTCTAAATGAATCCATTGCTAATTTGAACTGGCATGCTGCTCTCCAGTTGAAGCTTGGAGATCCAAACCGTACTGCTCCAGCATTTTATGACATCCTTCATAGTCTATGCTCCGCTTTCCTACCCACCCGGTCGCGCTCTTCAGCCCCTAGACGACGTACACCAAGTCCCCCGTGGCTGACACGTGCTGTTAAAGCTCAGCTGAAGAGGAAGCGAGACTCGTACAGCTTGTATCGCAAGTATCCTACCCCTAGCAATCACGAGCATTACAAGTGCGAACGTAACAGAGCACGAATCCTATCTAGAGAGGCTCACCGCCAGTATGTGTCCTCCATTAGCACTAACCCCTCATCCATTATTGCATCCACCCCTAGTTTGTTCAAGTTTGTTAAGCAGCTTCGTTCGCCGACCCCTGTTGGAAACCCTATCATCACTGAACTCCATGAAAATAACACAGTACACAACGACCCTACCCAGATTGCCAATGCTCTGAATCGCCAATTCATCAGCTTTGGAACACCGGATGATCCTGCATGGTCTCTCCCTGGTATTCCACACCACGGGCTCCCAGCACTACCCTCTTTTAGCACAACTCCCACCGCCATTGCCCAACACATCCGTCGCCTAAAGCCCAAGAAGGCGGCAGGTGCAGATGGCATATCCCATGAACTGCTAAAACCCCTGTCTCCTAGTATAGCTATCCCTCTCAGCCTAGTTTTCAACCAGTCCTTCGCCACCGGAATCTTCCCTGATGTCTGGAAGGCAGCTGTGGTTGTGCCTATTTACAAGAATAAAGGCAGTAAACTGTCTGCATCCAATTACCGGCCGATTTCACTCCTTTCCACCATTTCAAAGCTCTGTGAACGTGTGGCATTTGGCCACTTATACCAACATGTGAACCCGGTCCTTGACCCGTCACAGTCTGGATTTCGGCGAGGCGATTCGACCGCCTGGCAGTTGCTGAGGCTTGTGCAGAAGCTATATGAATGCAAGGATCAGAAGCAATTTAGCCTCCTATGTTTTTTCGACCTCAGCAAAGCATTTGACACTGTATGGACAAGGGGTCTCCTCCATAAGTTAGCAGCGTTTGGCGTAGCCGGGACGTGTCTGCAGTGGCTCACCAGCTATCTCACTGAACGTCGACAGAGTGTCCGAATGGGACATGCCCTGTCCGCCCCTCTAACAGTCCACTCTGGAGTGCCCCAGGGCTCTATCTTGGGGCCTCTATTGTTCATCGTATACGTAAATGATTTGGCAGGTTTGGATCATACCTCACTCTACGCGGACGATACAGCGCTCCATATAACCGAGCCAGGCTTATTGCAAGCCTGCGACTCGCTACAGTATCACATTAATCAAGTTGTGCGCTGGATGTCGAAGTGGAAACTCCGCCCCAATGTGTCGAAAACGGCAATCCTTTGTATCCCCCCACGACCCTCCAGTGACCTCACCCTCCTTACGACTCGGCTTTTTACTTTCCCTGATGATCCCATTGCTATCAACATTGTTAAAAATCACAAACACCTTGGTATATTTCTTGATGAACACTTGTCCTGGGATTCGCACGTAACCTATATTGAAAAGCGAGTTTGCTCCGCGATAGGCTGCATTCCTCCTCACATCTCCCATCTACACCATGGTTGTCGAATACAAATTTATCACTCTTATGTTCTTCCTTTGTTTGATTACTGCTCTCTCGTTTGGTCCTCCGGTCTATCCTCCGCTCTTATGCATCGGTTAGAAGTCACCCACCGTAAATTACTTCGATTAATATTTCGCATGCCCCCTCTGACCTCCTCTCAGACGCTATACATTTTGGCTTCCTCTTCCCCTCTCTCAGAACGCTTTCCCCACTCGGCATGCAAATTCATTCACCGTATTAAGCTTCAACTTGCTCCTCCTCATGCACTTGCGCATTTAAGCTGGTTCAATAATAGCTCGCGTACTAGATGTTCTCTCCATTTCCCACTTGCCAGGTCATCGATCCTTTTAAAATCCCCTCTGTTCAAGTCCTATTCTCATTGGTCTCGGCTTCCGCAGGAGGTAAAGTCTCGTGACACCTTCGCTGCATTTTGTTCCATTCTGCCCGCGCCTAAGTTGAATTGAATTGAATTCGTTGTTTTCCATTGCTAGCCTAATCTTCATACTGCTCTCTCCAGGTTCCTATAGTACTCCTTTTGTTTTGTTTTCTTTTCTCTTTTTCTTCTCCTTCTTTTTCTCAGTTGTCCCCACCATGGCTGGTTAAAATCGCCCGCATCACATGCTTATTGGCACTATGTCATCGTGATTGTGAAATAATAATAATAATAATAATAATAGCGCTAACTACAGGTACGCTCACTGAAATCCGACCAAAGGTGCAAAACTAGTGCCCTGGACCAGTAACAATTGAATCACTTTACTGGTACATCTTTAAGTTCAGCCGAATGAGTACCATGTTTTATGTAATGGTGTTGATGCTTCACAATAATGTGTTACTTTGCCCGTACAAGAGGCTCAAGGAGTTCATTCCTAAAACAATAAAAAATTATAAAATTAGCACCACTCCCAGGACGCCAATACCCCATTTGTGTCGCATCTCGTGGTTATTAGCAGTATCGCTAAAACAACACCCCCCCCCCCCCCTCACACACACACACCAACACTATCCCCATGGATAGGAGTCAGATATCGCCTAAACCGGTACTAGCGCTATGGAGAAGCCTAGGGCGGAAATCTGTCATGTTTCTCACACGTAGATATACCGGTGCGTCTTGGAGCACAGCGTTCATTCACTGTTGAATAGGAGCAAGTGAAGACGTGCAGTTAGAACTGACTCATTGGCTGCAATTACCGCACCCGAACGAAAGAAGGCCGACGTTTGGAATCAACGACAGCAATTTAGTGTCAGTAGCTGAAGTCCAGCCGATCTATTCCATTCCGTCTACAGCAGACATGGTAAAGACGGTTGATTTGTTCTACTGTCCTTCTCAGGTCAGTAACAAGTACCAGACACCCAATCTAACCGTAGTTTGGAAAAATTGTACACCCATTTCTTGGAAACCAAGGAAGGATTGTGAACCACTTGAAAGTTTCGTTGAAGTGACGTTCAAGTGTAGAGCATTCAAGACAGACTTACCGTTTTGTGAGACGTTCAAGAGGTTACTGCGCGCATTGAAGCTTGATTACGTACCCCGTTGAGGACAGTCGGCAACGTTAACAATGATAAACCGTCCTGAGGAATGCATGACAATGGTTACCATGGAGACGAGGCTATAATGATGGTTTTCGGGATATCTCTAGGTCCTATGACCTTAACGCGCGCGGGGGTTTGACGAAGAGCTTCACACCCAGTCAGCTGTACCAAGCATCCATAGTGAACTGGCTGCGACGTGCAAATTCAGAACTTTTTCCTAACAAAAGACGCATGCTATACAAGCTTGAAGGTGCTCAGCTAATGAGTGAGACTGTATCATTGAATTGGACTAATGATGTCTGGTCTGGTCTGCCTAACGTAGATTTTTGCTGTCATCACAAGACAAGCCCTTTGGATTTGAGTTTACTGCAGCGGAACCTATGCCTCGTTTTCTTCCTAGGAATAGCGAGTTTTGTAGAATTTACACATCCATTACCAAAGTTTAGGAGGTTTGACATGTTTCAAATCAAAATCGACTTCTGTCAAATCTGTATACCAGTGGTTATAGCTGTCCTCAGATTCCTTCTCAACATGTCGTCCCATTTTCACTTTTTCTTGCCAATTGACCATTCATTCGGGTTACGTGCTATATGTAGTTCATACAACAGTTATTATGTTAACTGGTATTCAACGTGGCCTGTTGGATGCTTGTATATTCCAGACAATCTCTTCTATAACAGGGATCGCCCCACGTTACGCATTGTTGTCTTTCCTTATACCCAGCTCATGTTAACCCCCACTAATTCCTGTGATCTATAACTGGTGACGATGTATAGGATATTGACCAAGAGGAGGTCTATATTTCCCATATAGACCAAAGTCGAGGTCAATATCCTATTTATCACGATTCCTTTGCCATAACCCCAAAATTTGAACAATTAGGAGCTATTGTAACCTTTTTAGTATAGCACATAGGATGTTGCCTATTTTGGGTACAAGACTGTAAGAACAACAGGGTTCAGCATCTGCAGCACAGTGGCTGGGTGGTATAAGGGGTTGCTTGAGGTTCATACTGTTGTGAGTTCGAATCCTGCTTGTTCTCTTCCTTTGTCTTCTTTCTTTCAATTTTTCTTTTATAAGTGGAGAGAAAAATTCTAAGTCCCTCCAAAGTCGAAAGATTACAATGCCTAAGTGGTCGATACAAGCGGTCGATATAAGCGGTCGATATAAGCGGTCAATATTGCGGCGATATGGGTAATATAGGACCAGTCAAGGATCACGAGAATTAGTGGAGGTCGATATAAAAGAGTGTTAAATCTCCTTATCGCCTTCTTAGTAGTGAGGTTCTGCCACACGGTATAACGTGCCAAAGTACGTATGGAAACTTCGCCGCGGTACGGGATTTAGTTTGATACGGATTTTTTCATACCGTTTTCCGTGTGAAGCTCGCTTCACACGGACTGGACTCCGTGTGAAAAGTGAGCGTACAGAGTACATGTGGCGGGGTGTTCGTGCATGC